TCAAAATTCGGTTTAGAGAGCATTGCTACAAATAAAGGTCCAAAAATGTATTCGTGTTAAATATTATGTTAGAATTAAAGATGAATCACCATGTACCATGTACCTTTCATCATGTATTTACCAGGCTCTCAACTTTTGCTATGGATAAAAAGCCTTCCTTGTTATTATTATGTTTACTTCTAACACCATCTTATTGTAAGTTTTATAATGGATATTTGATTTTTTTTAACAATTCTATAAAAGACAGACGGCTCCTTTGGCAAAATTAAAAGCAATCTGCATAATTAAAATAAATACACATTACGTAAAGTAGAAAGTCATAGATCCTCCATTAACTAGAAAGTAGATATAACCGTCATTAAATTTAGCTCCCATTGTGTACTTATAATTTTTTATAGGGAAGTTGTACCAGCCTAGTATTAATACATAAATAACCGTTTTAAAAATTTAAGTCTGTCTGTCTTGTCTGAGCGGATCTTCGAGATGGCAAATTGTGATGTAACTTTAAGAACAAATAAAGAACAATTCTAGGAGTTTTAGAATAATTCTAATCTAGGGTGTATTTTATCCATTTTTTTAAAATAAATGGTCATAGATCATTTTAAATCTAAATAATGCCACATTAACAGATACTTTCCTGGCCAAGTGGAAGGGGTCGCTAGTAATAAATAAAATAATAAACCCATTTGGCAGTTTGTAGATTTATGTAGTATTATAGAATATTTTCACAATAATTTATTTGTACAACAATAACTTGTATATTATGCTCGTGTTCAATAAAATAAAATGCAATAGAAATCAACTACATTTATATTATATATGTCTGATATAATAGGAAATTTGAGCATTCTATATTTTACATAGGTAATTATTGCTTTTAGATTTGTGGAAAGAAATTCATATGAAAAAAAGTATGTAACAACTGCATTTTATTTTTTTGAACAACATTATTCTGTGGATAGAGACAATATTAATATTAATGTACTTTGTAAATTTAACAAATAAAAACAAAAGGAAAATATAATAAATTTTTTACAAATGTAATGACTTTTAAGCTATAGACAATTTTGAAAATAAAAATTTATTCCTATTTCAAACAAACTGCATGTTTATCATAAACCAGATCATTTTGGCAGTGACAACAAATTAAGGCATGTGGCATGCATTTTGATCTTTTGAATTTGCAGCATCACTAACAATTGACTGTTAGCTATGTGTTGTAATGTTATGGGTCAAGTAATAAATATATAGTTATTAAAATGTATTATTGCCATATTCAAGACCCATAACAAAACAATTAGCAAATAAAATAATTTAAAGTTTTAAACATAATGTTTAAAACTTTAAAAAAAATATATTATGAACATTATGTAAAAAAAAACATTTTTTTAACATATGTTCATAGTAACAATTTGCAGTTAATTTACACATTGCTTACAAAGTACCTATAACTGTGCTGAAGTAACATGCAGTGTTCATTGAATAATTTTTTTTTAATAACCACAATAAATACATAGTTTTTGCAAACTAAAAAGATCAAAATGCATTAACATGTGATTATATATTATTATGGTATAAACGCTATTGTTCTTGACACAGGAAACTTGTTTATTTTAAAGCAGCTGTGATTACATGCATTTCAGGCAAGCTTTAAGAGGTTTGTTTTGGTTGCAAGCATTGAAAGTAAAATAACAATGCTATCATTTTACATAGGGTGGATAGGATCGGGTTTACATCTCTTGTTGAAAGTAAAGAGATACTCTATTTAATATTGTAGCAGAGATGTTTAGGGATTACTTTAGCTTCTTGTTGACAACTGATCACAAAGATCAAAGTTCAACATTTAAAACTGAGAAGCAGATAGACGCTCTCACTTAACAAAATATTAACATGCGCATATTTAACTTTGAAATAATCAAAGTGTATTGGTTTTTCACGATTTTTATTATTTTTTTTGTATTTTTTAAACATTTTTTTATTTTTTTTAGACTTTTTTCATTTTTATTGACTTGAGTTTTTTTTTGCAATTTAAACAGTTTTTGAGACACTATTTAGTCTAAACAGTTTTCTTATATATATTATTCATAATTATTTATTGTACTTTTTATTCAGCATGGGGCCAGTGCCTCTTATGTAAAATCTTAAAAAATGATATAACATTTACATTACAGCAAGGCAAATGTTTTTAATGCAAAGGTAAACAAAGCTTGTACGGGGTTTAAAGATAAACTAAGTATGTATTCGCTCTTTAAACAGTGGAAAAAATTTAATAGCCAATTAAGTAAAAACTAAATAACTATTATTCTTTTTAAATGCCAACAAAATTGACATTGTCCATAAAAAATAAAAATTACTTTTTATGGACAAGATCCCCTACACACTAATTTTAACAATAATTTGAGAATCTCTAAGGTTGAATGATATTAATTTTTTTATTCAGTTTCATGGCAACAGTGGAATTTAAGAATGCAATGTAAACTTGAGACAATGTTAACGCTAAGCACATGTATTGTAAAAGACATTTTAGCACCATTTTTATATTAGTTAAGTTAATTATAGCAATATCTAGCGTAACTATATATACATATATATAGAGGAAAATTACCACTTATTAAAAACAGCATATATGTGAAATGTGGCACAAACCTCTTAACAATAAGGCATTAAAAAGCGAGCTAGATGTACAATATGAGGTCTAGGACCTGCCATTAAATCATGTATTTATTGCTTTATTTTCTTTTAGTTATTAATGATGTGATAATGTCATATGGTAAATTTTGTTTAATATATAAAGAACAACTTTAGGGTTTTTACTACCGTTCCAATATTTTCAACCCCCAACAATACTTTATTTAAAAAATAGCTTATTACCCTTGCACTGCCAAGCCTTCATACACCTTCAAAACATTCTTTGTATATATATTTTAAATATTTTTTTGTCATTTTTTAACGGATCACAAAAATACTATTTACATAAAACATTACAATATATTCCTTAAACACTCCTTTATTTCTCGCTCTCTCCTCACCGTACTTATTATTTACAAGTTTAAATAGCTTACAAATATATGATATAAATATTAAAACAAAAGGACGCATTTCTAGGCAGCACCACTTCTGAATTCCACTACAATATATTTATTTTTAACTATTTAAGTCACTGGAAACTGTACTTCAAGCTGAGATGTTTTTTAATTTGCTTGATTATAGTTATTAAAAACTCCATTTATATGCCTTTAGACAACCCCAAAGAGATCTGATAGATGTGAGCAAGATGCCTTTGTACTTTTAAATTCTTCTAAAAAAACCGTTAAAAATAATTTAAAATAATTTCATATATAATCATAATTAAAATTTAAGTCTTTGTAAACTGTAAACAAATCCATTAAAATGTTTATTACATGGTTTAAAATGGAACAGATAAGTGTAAGTTCTTTTTCTTTTTCCTTTGACTGGTGGAGAAAATACACAACAACTTCATCTAAGATGGAATGGATGGCTTCAGTATAATATAGATGAGTCCTAGGTCCTGTCCTGTCCTGTCCTAAGTCCAAGTTCTTTAGTACAATTTAATGATAAATTATTGTTTCTGTACAATTCTTTAAGGCAACAGATCACAATGAGATGATGTTGCCATAATTCCAATTTTGCATAATATAATAAATTTTCCCTCTCTAATGAATACTAGCAGAATGCTAAACTTAAAGGTACCAGAATTTAAGGTCATCTTATCCAATTTTAAAGCAAGTAGCTCCTCCAGATCTGGACACTTTTAGGATCATAAATAGAAAAATTAAATAAGCATTTTATGTAATAAGTTTCTCCTGGAAACTCAACGAATGGAGTGACAATTAAAAATGGCTCAGAAATATGATCAGTCTTAAACTGGTTGACAAAATGATCCATTCGTTTCAGATTCGACTAATAGTGGCTTTGAAGAATTCAAAGGGTTAATAACCATTAAATGCACAAGTAGTACCAGTCTTACCCATTATGGATAAATCTAAGCAATATGTCACTATGGATTCAAACATATAATTTTCATAGTGGCATTAGTTCTATGTACACAATATAAAATATTTAACTATATAACGCAATTTCGATTATCAGTGGCTGGAATAGTGGAGTTAGTTTAAAATTTACCGTTAGGAACTAATTGTTTAGCTGTGCTTACAAACAACAATTTCTTTGACTAGGGCCCATTGCCTGCCACACAGCTAAATCTCCTCCCAAAGTTTATCATTGAAAATCTTATGTAGGCTTGTGTTTCTGTACGAGATGTAACCATATTGTATGTATACATACAATGAATGGATTTAAAATCAGGTTTTTTGTTAGAGTACCTAGATTTTATGAAACCATTTTGTCCTGTAGACATAAGTATGAATACAACACTTAATCTAGGACATATTTACAGGGAATTCAGTCGCTTATCACAGCCAGTGAGGTTAACAACATTATGTATATTCGGCTCTAATAGGACTACCCTTAATAAGTGATATTCAATGATATTGCAAACATACATATTTCAAACGTTTTCATTCACATATTCCGCAAAAACATAGTTCAAGCAGTATCTACCATGTCTAGTCCATGTTATTTGGAATAAATGTTCCATTAATATTTGGTATATTTCGTAAATACTGCTTGTCTATAAATTTATTTCAGAATATTGGCCATCAACACCAACTTCATACCCTGTGTTCAACAGGAATTTTGTCATAGCCCTGACTACTTAACACCATACCACCAGAAACACTTCCAATTTGAAATATCTGATCTGAGACGTGAGCGTTTGCTCAATACTACACACAATTTTCCAGCATAATAAGTGACACTCACCTATGAGGCTCGTTTGTTTATATAACAGTGGCTTGAAGCCTATTAATACTTTGAAACTGTCACAATATAACACTTCGCTCAAAAGAACTTTGGTTTAAACAACACTCGGGCGAAATCTTCAGTAGGATTGAAGATCAGTCCGAGTGGATTGGAGCGTATCATCGCTCCGGCACCGGCCAGGCGTCCGCCAGTCGAAGCCCCGCCGCCAGCCTCTTGTAGCTCTCCTTGAACGTGTTTACTATTTTCTCAAACGTCTCTGGGTCATACACAGAGTGTGCAGTGTTCGTCAGGTCAAATGGTTCTGGAAAGGAGAAATTTTTGAAAAACTCCCATTTACGGTCTTTTTGATTAGATGGTATCTGCCATAGAAGGTATAATAAAAATATTAAATTAAGCAAGAAAAACTAACGCTCCTGTTCTTGCTCCATTAAATAGGATTCAAAAACTATGCAAATATAAATTATTATTATGTAGTAATGGCTATATCTGTGTTGGTGTTTTATAATAGTCTAAGTCCTAAGCATACACTAAATTGTCTTAGCATCATTTGTACAGACCTTTTTAAAAATATTTACGGACGAGGTATCAACTACACCTTGTCGCAACTTGTTCCATATGTTTAGTGCAATATTTAAGTCTCTTGCAGCAAAAATTGAAGGCAATTAATCTCACGGAATAATATGTATTGTGGAGCCTATTGGGAAAATAAATACAGCAAGAAACATTTTTTTACATTTGTTTGATGCTATTTAATAGGTAATATTTAATTTATTTAATGTAGTTTTTTTTTTAAATAATCTATTGGAAAGCACTCGCATTTCGTAACATATATAAAATCTTGCACACGTTTTAATATTTCACTACCAATATCTATAATGTTTATTCCGACGTCAAAATATTTGCGAAATTTTCGTTTAAGCATATTTCGTTTATTCAAAAAACTCGGTAAAATTGTCAGAAAGTATTGTTTAATTAAATTCGTCGATTGTGCAATAAAGATTTTAAATAAATAAATATTATCCTTTCTTCATAAGAATAGCGTTTCACATACGCTTTGAAATTATACGAAAGTATATAATTAATACTAAATCACTAATATTACATCTACCCAAAAATGAACCGCTACTTTTATGAATTCTGTACTGTGGTACGGTGTTAAAATTATTAACATCATTTATTTTGCCAAATATATTAAAATAGTTTCGTAAAGTATTATTATTATCTAAAATAAAAAGGGACGCAATATATAAAATAGTAATTTCTTTATAATAGTCTCTGAGTGAGTCCCTTGATCTAATATTGTAAATAGCATCTTTTCTCTCGAACTAATATATTTTGAATATCAGTTGCTGATCCTCACACAATAATCCTTAGGATATAATATAGTACTGTGGCAGTAGCTGTTATAAAGCAATCTCACTTTTTCCACTTCAGGTAACAGCAGTAGCAGTTAGCAGCAGCAGTAGTTCATTCCTTAAAATATTTATTATTCACTTGAACACTATCTTTGTTAAAAATCCTTGTAATTAAGTTTGTTGTTCAGATCTATTAACGTACAATTTTATTTTCTCACATTTGTGGTGTTCGAGACAACATTTTCTATACAAATATCCCGCCGCCACATAGACTAAACCATTTTTTTTTCTGGTACATCAAATAGACAATCAATTGTTCCTACTGTTAACACAGGGACAGTAACATTGTCAGGTTGCGGTGATGGTGTATTAAAATACGACAATCGTCTGCTTTCATAAGTAACATATCGAAATCGTATTCACAATTAGTATTTTGAAGTTTCCCTAAGATGTTGGTTATAAACATCTTATTGACGGCAATACTAAGTAGACGAAATGTTGGTTCTTGGTAGTTACCACCCGCCTGTGACTTTTCCAAAGAAATTTTCGAGACAATCTTTATTGCGACGTCTCGTAAATATAATTTAATTTCTTCTGATTTTAATTCTTCAAGAAATTTTATTAAAGATTTTATAGACACTAATCCGTGAACGAAATTCATGCTATTTGTAACGTCTTTCTTCCTACCACTTTTTATTAATTTATTTATTAGGAGATTGCAGTGTACTCGAGCTTAAGAAATCAATCAAATTATTAATTTTATATAGAGATATGTCTTGCGGCAACCTCGATAAGATTTAAATCTACGTAAACCATATTTACACTTTTTTTTATATTTTTTTTGATATGAATTATTCTTTAAAAACATAATTTGACACTTATTATTTTTTTACACAACCCTGAGTTTGAGCACTGGCCAAGCCGGTTTAAAGCAGTTTCTCTCTGTACATGATGAGCCGCCAGTGCTCACGCACACACGCGCCTCAACCTTGTAGTAGTGCATCTATAATAGCGCGGTTGTATGAAGCTTGTGGTATAATGTCACACTGTATTACTAAATACTAGCGAACCGCCCCGGCTTCGCACCTGTGATTTCTGGATCGCGACAACAGCGCCACCTATAGAGTATAATTGTGAATAGTTTAGATCATCCAGGGACCCACTCAAACACACATAAAAAATGTCATCAAAATCGGTCCAGCCATTTTCGAGTTTTTGCAAGACTAACGGACAGCAATTGATTTTTATATATAGATATTTAAATAAGAATAAAACGCAATTATCACAAAATCCCAACATATAATAGCAGGTTAATGCTGGTGTATTTCCAAAGATGTGTGTAGAGAACTGGAGATCCTTTTTACTGGAAATGTCAGATAGTCCTCAGGGGTGACAACGCATCTGTATTTTGATTCTAAACCGAGGATAAATGTAAATGTCTATGGGTTACAGCATCCACTTGCCATCAGGTAGACTGTGTGCTCGTTTGTCACCCTTATCCTATAAAAATAAAGGTGACGTGATATTGCACTATTACCTTCAACACAAAGCAGCTTCCACTGATGTGGGTCGTGTGCTCTGCACTCGACGAGCGGCACTCGCCGTCCCATCCGCACCGACACTGCCATTTGATCGTAACTGCAATCATTTCGAGTTAGGCTACGGTTATTATTATTAATAATGTTTTTATTTCAGACGTAGAGCCATATAAGTTGTCAGTAATATATAGTACAGTTATTTGGTGTTGAAAAAAGAAGTTTCCAAGAAAGTTTTCCGCGAATTTTATTGGTGATTTTATAGATTCTGATGTGCTCTTATCGAATTTCTACTTTGCCATCTCGTATCTTTGCCGCTCGCGTCGCCATATTGGAAAAATGGCGCCTAAAAACAGTTTTTTGATCTCCTTTCCGACTAATTTTACGATAAAAAATTTATATAATAAACTAGCTGATACCTGCGAATTCGTCAGCGTTGCTTGATATATTAACAAAGTTTTCGTATGTGCGAAAGAAAAAACATCAAAAAGATCGCAAGCAAAAATATACTTTGCTTATAAAATCGTTGTTTCTTAAAACTTTAACAACTTTATATTAAACGAAGATATCGCAATATTTTTTTAGATAAGGGCCAAGTGTCTAAGAAATAAAACGTAGAATACCTAATTGAAATCTATCCAGTAGATTTTCAAATCTCTATCATTTTATTTATTTATATAATTTGCATGCCACAAGAAATACATCATACATCAAGTGACACGCCGTTTTTGAGATTAATTGGAAGATTATTATATATTTTAATTACATTCGCATGGGAACCTGATGTAAATAATTTTTATTTTGAGAATTGAATATTCAATTTATTTTGAGTTCGATTATTTCTTTTGACAATTTACAGGATCATATAAATTTGGATGTTTTTATAACGAACTTACAACATTCAATAATGTAAATAGATGTAAGTGTGCTTGTGAATGCGTCAGTGTGCTACGTATATCCAAGCATGGCGGACACCGAACTTGTGTCGGCTATTGAGTTTGGTTTAACATACTTTTATTTGAAATACAAAAACAACGAATTTTTTTGACTTTTAATTCTTTTACTGGCTTTCCCGTTAACTCGGCAAGACGACTCCAAGCATTTGCAACTTTCTAGAACAAAGAACTAAACATGCGCTCGTCGCAAAATCACAATGGTTACTAAACGCGCACCAACGTGTGAATGCGTTGCAAGCGCTTGCCGCAAGCGCCCTTTGATCTGTGTCTAAAAACCGACACTAGCCCGGATCGGGGACAAGCGTCCACAAGCTCACGCAAGCCAAGCCAAACGCCCTCTTTACACACTTGTGCTTGTGGATGCTTGCCGAGACTTGGCAAGCGTGGAAACCCGGCATAACGTTGGTTCAATGTTCAATGTGATGCCGACCGAGTTAAGCCGAACGATCCGCGACAAAAAATGAGTAAATGCGTAGTGAAAGAATGCGATTCATGGTCACAAAAAGCTAATTAATCAAGCGGAATCACTTTCCACACGTAAATTTCAGTTTATGTTTTCATATTAACGTAAAAAAACACAAAAAAAATTAAATAAAATATCGAATATTGCAATTTAGGTTCAATGTCGGCACTTTTCTGCCTTTGCAATTTTCCCACATTATACTACTACGACTATATAATTTATAGAATAAGTTAACTTGTTACCCTTGATTTTAAATATTTTGGAAATTATAATAAAAACTATGTTTCAAGCTTTATACAAAGGAATTAATTATTCTTATTTTAGAATATTCATGAATGGTCTATTAATTATATTTTATTACCTATTTTATATTAATAATTTTGCAGGGTACCTAAAGATGCAGTACACCGTAAGAAATGGGTGGCAATAATACGATTGCTAAGAAAGGAGACTCACTGGGTGCCTTCGAAATCTACTCTCATTAGTTTTGAGCACTTCTGGGATAAAGACAAACTAGGACCAAAAAGCGATTGCGACCGTGTTTATTTAAGCGGATTAGTACTACAGATTAACACCATTTAGTATTATCTTAAAAATGGACTTCCGCAAAGTCAAGCGTAAATCAATTAACTATCTTCAGAATAGTAATGTGATGTAAAAAATGTGAAACAATAGTTGCAAAAAAAAAACTCATTAAAGTTGTTAAATAGTATGAAAATTCTATAAACAAAAAAATCAACGAAATTTATTAATAACCACAGTTTTTGTAGCTAATGTAGAATGTAGAACAAATTTAGGAGACAAGGACTTACCGATGCTTTCACAATTCATGCAAATTTCAAACTCAGATGATTAAGAAACCCAAAATTGTTTTTTTTACTTGATTTATTTTTGTTGATTTATTAGTAGAATAAAAATACTTAGAAAAAAAAATATCTTTCATTTCATTAGTTATGCTTACTTCTATTCATCGGATAAGAAAAGATACATTTTTAAAATAAAAAACAAATAATATTTGTAAAAAAAAATAGCTTTAAATAGCTTAAAAAAAAATCCTTTTTATTGTTTATTTTTAGTAAAATTTCATATAGTAGTCAATACCAACCGGCCATTGCATTTTTGTGTGTCTCTTTATCTTCATATTTTGTAGTGTTATGCTACTTACTTATCATTTTACATTATTTTAAATTCATTTTTCCATTCTGTTTCGATTTTCTGCATTCACCTCAAAACTGGATATTTTACATCACCTTTATTTCCATAGGATCCTGTAACGATTTTAAACCATAAGAACACAATAACAAATCATTTCTACTTCGTATTTTCACATTATCAGCACTTTTAAATTGGTGTCAATGGAGTCTACCTTTTTTCGATCTTTTATTTAGTTTTCCGTAACTCTGCAATTTCGGGCTTTGTGCGTGCAGTTGCGCTACCTTTTTTCCTATATCAATAATATCTCATTTTTCACTTAAATCTTGCCGTTTTTTTATTACAAGCCTAAAACCAAAATTTGACATGTTTTGACATTGTTGTTTATTTGGTCTCTATGGCAATTATATTCAAATTTGCTACCGGTCTGTTGTTTCTATTTCGATAATTCCACATAAATACTCTTTTCTCTTGACCATTTACAAAAAATTTGCGTTTAATTTAAATAAATTTTCCGTTCTCTCTAGAAAGGTATAAAAGCCGAACAATCGGTGAAGAAAGGCAGTCTCGCTTCAGTTCTCGAATTGGAAGCATCTCCTAAAGGCCTTATCCCGGGGCCGCACTGCCCCGGGATCCTGCAAGCCTCTGTCCTGCCTGAAGCCACTGGACTCTACGAACCTCTGCTCTACCTGGAGTCGCCGGAACCTGCAAACCTCTGTTCCGCCTGAAGTCACCGGAACCTGCAAACCTCTGTCCCGCCTGCAGTCACCGGATCCTGCAGGCCTCTGTGCTGTCTGAAGTCGCTGAGGATCCTGCAAGCCCTGTCTGGCCTGAAATCGCCGGATCCTGCAATCACCGCATTCACCTGAGGTCGTCGCCTAGAGACGCCCACGCCTTCTCACCTACGCCGTGCGTGCTTGTTCCAGGCGCTGAGAGCACACTTTGGATCTTCAGACTCAGCTTCGACACTAACCTCCTTTTTTTATTACCTTTTTTAAATAATTTGTAAATCACATCATCCATCCTCATCTTCATACTCCATTTTTGTTATATAAAATTGTAAATATCTTTTGAATCTTAAATATATTATTTGTTTTTGTTGTATTTTTGTTGTTTTGTTGCTCTTAGGTTAGATTCTTTTTGTTCTTAATTGTCGCTTCACGACAATTTATCTAATCTAGCGACGGTATTGTTTTTGCGACTTGTGTAAGTGAGACAGATATATGTTTACTTAAAAAGGTTTAGTGGTTTCAAAGCTACGTCCTCGCGGTTTCACTGTGTGTTTCACAGTGGTTTCACTTTTTTCGACGCGCGGTAATGTGGTTTGCTTCTCTAGTCTTGTATAACTCAATGGTGCAAATATAAATGAAGACAATTTACTTGTTAATTGTTGAATGTGGGGTTGCCAATTTAGATATATAGCCTAGCTGTGAAAGAGGTTTGACAGACTCACATAACTTGATTCGGCTCAAAGAAAAAATTAATTCAAATCGAATTCATGTTTTGTATGATATAATTGTTAGAAATATGATACACGGTCCCTGTGGAACACTAAATATGCAATCTCCCTGTATGAATAATAACAAATGCTCGAAGAGATATCTAAGATCATTTTTGAAAAACCCACACAGGTGACGATGTATATCCTAAATACAGACGTCAACCGCCGAGTGAGGAAGGATTTACAGCAAAAAATCAACATTAGAGGTGAAAAACTTGAAATTGATTATCAATGGGTTGTAACCATATAATCCGTTGTTATTTAAAATCTTCCGAGCACACATAAACGTAGAATAGTGCAGTGTAAAGTCAATTAAATATGTTATTTCACATGGGATGCATCGGGAAGGGTATTTTGTCAACGAAAAATAAGGATCCCGGTACAAGGATTTACGGATGTATTCAAAGATAATGCCATTGGTCGACTTTGTTGTTGTTTGATGTTTCATCCAAAAAACGCAGAATGTTTTTATTTTCGTCTACCATTTAATGAAGTTCGTAGACGAACATCGTTTGAAAGTCTTCGTACAGTAGACGGTTATATTTGCGAAAAATATCGTGAAGCATGTCAACGTCGTGGTTTATTAGAGAACGATAACCATTGGAAGCTAACAATGAGAGAAGCTGCACAAACGGCAACAGCTAACTACGAGAACCTTTTGCTTTGTGTAATCCTCTAAACCCAAATAACCTATGGCTGGAATTTCGCGATAACATGAGTGACGACATTTTGGCCAGACTGCGTAAAGACAATGGTGATATGGATATTACTTTTAATGAAAATATTTATAATGGAAGCCCTGATAATTTTGGTAGATCGATGCTTAGGAATAAGTAATCAAAGTTTGATGGAACTTGGAATACAATCTTCCATAAGAAGCAATTTAAATGTGACCAATTTTAAATTATCAAAAGAAACTAATTACAATGTGAAATAATTGTGTTATACCGAGAAAAATTAACCAAAATTAACGCAAGCACAACGGATGATATATGACACAATTATAAATCTTATTGAAAAGGTTGGGGAATCACTATTTTAGGTGCACCAGGAGGAACAGGCAAAACTTTCGTTATTAATTTGATCTTAGGTAAAATTCGAGCAGATAATAAAATTGCACTAGCGTTGGCTTCGTCAGGAACTGCCGCCACACTAATGGAAGGCGGAAAAACGGCATATTCTGCATTAAGTTTGCCTTTAAATATAGCCGAACAAGAATTTTCAGTATGTAATATTTCAAGATCTTCAATGCGTGGCCAGGTCTTCTCATGCGATCTACAATTATATGGGATGAATGTACAATGGCTCATAGAAAATCACTTGAAGAGTTAAATAGAACATTACAGGATATCGGAAAAATAAAAAGCTTATGGGAGGAATTTTATTACTATTATCTGGAAATTTTCGACAAACGCTGCCCGGTTATTCCAAAATCAACTCCAGCTGATGAAATTAACGCATGTTTGAAACGATCCACGTTCTAGGATCGTATTGCCAAATTATCATTTTGACAATTATCGAGCAAAAATAACTGGAGATCCGAAAGCACAAGAGTTTGTTGAAAATCTGTTAAAAATTGGAAATGGCACCTATCCTATAGATTCACACTGCATACTTATTCTATTAGAAGAATTGTGTAAAGTAGTAGATAGTAGAGAAAAAGAACTTATTGAAAAAGTTTATCTGTCTATTGAACAGAATTATCTAAATAGGACATGGTTGTGTGAGTGAGCAATTTTAGCTACAAAAATGATATAGTTACACCAAATTAATGAAAGGATACAGAATATGATGCCAGGAGATGAAAAACTGTTTAAATCAATAGACACAATGATGAATCAAGACGAAAGTGTAAACTTTCCAACAGAGTTTTTAAATTCACTGAATCCGCCTGGTATGCATCTCCGCATGTATTGAAGCTAAATTTTGGACCAGCAGTCATATTATTACGAAAACTCAATTCGTCAAAATTATTTAACGGTACAAGATTATGTATAAAACAACTTCTCAACAACATTATTGAAGCAGTAATTCTAACTGGCAGAGAAAAAGGAAAATCCGCTTTTATAACATTAATTTCAAATGATTTACCATTATGTTTAAAAGGGATACAGTTTCATCTACGACTGGCTTATAGCTATATAATAAGGCACAAGGTAAAAAGTTTCAATATTGTGGATTGAATTTGGGAGAATCCTGTTTTTCACATGTTAACTCTATGTAGCTTCTTCGCGCGATGGACAGAAAAAAAATTATTCGTGTGTGCACCAGAACACAAGACAGTTTTTTTTTATTAGGAATAGGGTGACAAACAAGCACACAGTCCACCTGATGGTAAGTGGTTGCTGTGGCCCTTAGACATCTACATTTATCTTCGATTACGAATCAAAATGCAGATGCGTTGTCACCCGTGAGGACTAAGGTTCTCTACACTCACCATAACGAAACACAGCAGCGTTAAGCTGCTATTTTACGCTGGTATTCTGTGAGAGCGTGGTCCTTTCCCGGTCGAGCCGACCCATTCGTGCTACAACTGTACTACTAGTATAGTTGCAGCATGGCTCTACCACGTTGAAAAACAGTAAATGTAGTACACAAGAATTTATTGTTATGTAAGTATTCAGTAGCGGGTTTTCATTCTTTTGAGTATATCCAACTAATAACATCTCCAAAAACAACTCTTGACAATTGCATTAATAAATTTCACTTGTAATTGTCTAAACACTCGTGCAATTAAATCATGTCTATCGTGTAAGTTTTGTCCTCATTGTAACTCATTTTGAATTTCTTTCCACAATGGATTACATGTAAACGTAATAAACAAATCAGGACGACCAGATTTTCTCACAATAAGTCATTGCATCTTGTGCATATTACTGCATATGTCTGGGGCTACCAGTAAACAAAGAAGGCTAAATTACCAACTATCAATGTTTCCATCATTAGCTATCGCATCTCGCAGATGAATGTATTCATCCGTTGCTGTTTGCTGTGATTTAGGCGAATGTATAACAGTCTTTCTGCTTCTATTTTTGCTTGCATATCGACAATAAATTGTAGAAATAATTGCTGACAGTTGTGTATATGATTATATTTATTCATTCTCTCCATTATGCGATATGAATAAAATTCCTTTGGTGAAACTTTTTTATTAGTTGGTTGATTCGTTTGGGGATCAATTTGCTGAATATTGAAATGGTAACCATCTTCGTCTTGCCAAAATATCAAAGGATATTGCGAGGCATCATACAGGTTTCCGCAATACGTTTTAACTTATGACTTCTTCGTTGAACTACAATATCCCTATAACTGCTTTCATTGTCCACCATTACTATCGCTACTTCATTCACTTGAGGCTCATTAAACCGTCGTTCATGCTCCTCACCAATCGGACTTTTATCTAACAACAAGCTGTAATTATTGACAGTTCAAGAAAAGGGGCAGTTTTAAACGATTTGTTTGCTGATCGATAACATAACCAGCGAGTGCAGCACTTGCATGAAAATGTAGACAATAGTTTAAGATGCGTTCTATGTGTGTGGATTCAAAGAAATATTATAAACGATCCACAATTTTTAAAAACTATTTTATGGATGGATGAAGCCAAATTCATTCGGAATGGATCACAAATTGCAGGAATTTACATGAATGGCATTATGAAAATCCACACTTAAGGAGGGCATCTACACTCACATCAAATTAAAATCTACCGTCGAATTACAGACCTATTTCATTGTTGCCAACTCTCTCTAAAGTCCTAGAAAAAATTGTAAACAGTAGACTGGTTAGCTACCTCGAAAAATTTGACCTATTAAGCCCTAAACAATATGGATTCAGGAAGAACAAATCCACTGAAGATGCTGGCCCCCATCTCTCGTCCTCAGTGAGCTCTTACTTAGACAAAGGTGAAAGGTGTATAGGTGTCTTTCTCGATCTTCAAAAGGCATTTGACACTGTGTCGATCCCTATACTATTGACAAGGCTAGAAAACCTGGGTATTAGATGTGTGCCACTGCAATGGTTCAGATCCTTTAAGTAACAGGCCACAAGTAGTCAGGATCAAGGAACGTGTAAGCAACAGCGCTATCTGACATTTTGGTGTGCCTCAAGGCAGTACGCTAGGCCCAACTCTCTTTCTCGCCTACATAAATAACCTATGTAAGTTGCAGATAAAGGGTGTCGACATCGTGATGTTTGCAAATGACACAGTACTTTTGTTTCACGGCACATCGTGGAGTAATGTTAGGAGTCTCGCTGAAAGGGGGATAAAAACTAACGTCTTGGCTTGAAGACAGCCTTCTACTCTGAATACTGCAAAAACAAAGTATGTTTTTTTGGTATATCAACCAGTTCTCGACTTGGCAATAACTTCCAGATTCAAATCCATACACACCCGTGTAACAGGCTACTGCGGTTACGTGCCACGTGTAATTGTGATTATTTGTCACGTGTGACAAGCATAAAGTATTTGGGAGTTATTGTTGATGAAATTCTTAGCTGGGTCCCACAAGTAACTGCTCTAGCGAGTAAAACAAGGAGGCTAGTTTACATATTTAAAAATTTATGTGATGTGGCTAGTTATGATGTTCTTTTGCTAACCTATAGGTCCCTGTGTGAGAGCATTATTTCATATTGTATTTGCGTCTGGGGGTGCGCAGCAAAGACACACCTCATTCTACAAGAGCGAGCGCAACGCACCGTCCTTAAAGTTATGCTGCGGTTGCCTTTAAATACCACACCTATGACCTGTACACGCGGTGTGGTATGTTATCAGTACGTAAATTATTTATATATCAACTTCTTCGCAGATATCACCGCCTTTTTGTGCCTGGTCTTCCTAAAAGTAACAAACGAGTAACAACATTACCCGTACCTAGGGTACCTAGGACCGTGTTTGCAAGAAAAAACTACAACTTTTGTGCACCAATGCTCTATAATAAATTATTTAACAAAGTTAAAACTGTTAATAACAGAAATGTTAAAACTGTTATTAATCTTAATAACCACGAATTTAAGAAAATCCTAAAACAAACTCTTAACGGCCTGAATTACGATGCGCCTGAAGAATTGTTCACCAAGATCACTTAATAACACACGCACACACACACACACACACACACACAAACGCTAGCGAGCGTGCGCGCACGCACGCACGCAACTTGACCTTAGAATAGAATTAGTATCATGTTATTACTTTTTATATTATCTTTATTATTTCTTTATAACACTAGTATACATTATAATATTTTGACAATAGATGGGGAAGTCTGAGGCTTGTAGCACAGTTTTAACTAACGCAGGCTTCAGAGCACAAAAATAACTGTAACTATAATGTAATGTATGTTAAATAAATTTCATTTCACATAAAGGCGGAGGAGTGTCATTGCAGCATCTATTAGCTGCATATTTAAAGCTACCTGTGAAAGCTGTAGAGCTGTAAGTAGGATTAGCAAGGTGGTTTTTACAAGACCTTATCATGTTTTGTCGATTTCTCTATATAAGGTTTTTATATAAATATTGGTGTGACAAAGTTTTGAAAATTTCCAGTCCTTTTTAAGTACATTCCTTTGACGTATTTATTAATATGTAGTTGTGCAAGGTTAAGTAGTACGCAGTGGCAGGTACTCACGGGAAGTCCGCGTAGTACTTGAGCATGTGCAGAAAGAGTTCGGCGAGCGTGGCGCGGTTGGGCGCGCGCCGCTCTGCTGCGGCCCCCGCACCCCCCGCCCCCGCGGCCGCCAGCGCTACGCCAGAGCGCGGCAGCACCGCCGGGCTCGTGCCGCCTGCAAACAGGACGTCGTCGTGAGCTCGCTGCGTCTGATGTATGCTGTGCGTGTGCAGTGTACAGTGTATCATGTGTAGTGTGAAGTGTGTGGTGTGATGTGTAGTGTATTGTGTAGCATACATGGTGTAGTATGGTGTGTGGTATGTTGTATGTAGTGTTTAGTGTGGGAGAGCAGGACACTCACACTGCAGGAAGTGTATGACCATGAGCGTGAGCGCGTAGGAGGAGAGCGTGCGGCGGCGCGCGTCGTTGATGCGGTGCGCGCGCGCCCACAGCTTCGTCACCGCCACCAGCGGCCGCACGCGCCAGTCCACTGCGAGCCAACCAACACGCAAACATCACTACTAATATCTACTAATAGTAGCACACTTCATTTTTCCAACACATGCTAGAGCCCACCTATCGTCCTACTAGATCATGCAAAACATGACCATATACCGACATTTATCACACGATAATTACTGATACAATAAATATCGACATATTTTTTTTAATTCGCCCATTGCTAGCCCACGGACTCAAACTTACTTAGTATGCCATAAAAAGTACTCTTTTTATAATATAAAGTAACAAACGAACACACAATCCACCTGATGGATAAAGCATTCTATGGCCCATCAACACCGAGATCTATCCTCCATTAAACTTAAAATGTAGATACATTGTCAGTATCCACCTGATGATGAAATAAGTAATCAGGGGTGATAACGCATCTACATTTTGATTCTTAATTGAAGATAAATGTATACATGTTTATGGGCCACAGCATTCACTCACCATCAGGTGGACTGTGTGTTCGTTTGTCATCCTTATTCTATATGAATAAAGAGATTCTGTGGCTCATCGACACCTACATCAGCCATTAAGAATCAAAATGTAGATGCGTTGTCACTATATCAAAATCCATTGCTGGACATATGCCTTCTTCATAGATTTCCTCATAGGGGAGTTATTGTGCCATAATAGCAATGCTTGGCAAACACATTTTTTTAACTGTTGCTTTTCTCTATAGTCTCTTACGACACCCTCGAAACGATATGGGGTAGTGGATACTCTCACACTGCCACTACACCACGATCGCCGGCCTCGCTCACATTAAAAAATATGATAAAATTTGTAAAATATATTCCAATCAAAATAAATATAACAACACAATATAACAATTTCTGAAATTGCATGCGCATGATACAAATAGGACTGTTAAACTGACATTTTCCTTTGCATGGCACAACTTGAAGTACATTGTGTAAGGCAAACGCATGCACAAAATAATCAAATAAAACAAGTATATGCTTATAAGGTGCGATGTAACACTTATACGACAAAATTAGTTAACGTATGTTATTAGTAATAACACAACCCACAACTTAAAAACTTAAGTATTAGAATCTGAACACAAATTATTATGATAATATTTCTTTTTTTTTGGGAAGTGAATAAGGATAAAACTTTTGAGGTCTAATTGTAAACATGGAAACAAAACGGCACAATAGCAAATTTGAAAATTATTTAAGCAGATTTCTTATATTTACGCGAACACTACACATTGAATAAAACTACTTTTACTGATTTTATCGCGTTTAATTAAGTTATTTTATATTCCCGACTATAGCTTTTTAATTAAAAAGGTGAAGGTACTCCGGGTTTAAAAGTAGTTTTATTTAAGCATTAAAATTATTTCAATTCAAAGTTATCGTTTGAACAAAACTAATGTATTTTTTACTTTTCTTGTCTCAATAAAAAGTGCAGAAAATGACTAAAAGAAATGCAAAAATTTTTACACGAGCTGACAATTGGTTATTTAATTCTTAAACCATTTCCTCTTTGACTAAATTTCACCTTCAGCAAATCTAAATATAAGGGATAAAGGCTTCTATGTAACTATTAGACCGGCAACTCAGAACTAAAACTGTGTAGCTGCTGTTGCTGGCGAGGTAAACATGCCACGCAATTGCATTTTCATTTACGACAGTTACTACGAAAAAAAGTTAATTTCAAATCACGATGACAAAATGCTCACATTAAAAAATGACAGCGTTTTCTTAGTCACATCAAACAAAATCAGCGTTAGATTATTGAAAAAGACGTTCGCGGTTTACAAAACAAAGAACTAGTCTGCTTGTCAGCTCGCATTTGACTAAAGGAGCTACGGAGAAATGACCTTACCTTAGTGCACAGTGTATTAATACCGCAGAGCTCATCTAGTAGTGTACATAGAAGTCTTTGGATAGTGGACAAAAAATTATAGTTACAATTATTGTTAAAATATAGTCAATAATATAAAAGATCTTACTTCTAGAAAAACAGTTGAGCAGGTTTGTGTTCCTAATGCCAACCACATTGTTGCAGTTGAGATCCACTTGAAGCCCATTCCGCGCGTCCCGGAACTTCAGTATGGGCACCTTTGCTTGGATTAGTTCCGCACCTACAAACAATTTTATATGTACAAGTGGTCACCTAGTGGTCCTAATTCGAATTATTTTTTATTTATTGTTATTGCAGTATTACATTTTCAACCGGACATGAATATATAAAACAAAGATATCCAATATACAAAATATATAATAAACGCTTTTTTCGACATACAGTCCACAGATTATTGAAAAGGAACTGTTGATATCACACAAAATTCACAGCTCATTTAGCCAATATTTTAATAATTAATTGTTCACAACATTTAAAGAATTCTCTGGCGACAATCTGTACGCATAATGATTATATACTCTTTGATCTCAACTCTGTGTGACAGTTTGATCACAGACTATTATGTGTTTGACATTGGCACTATAAACATAAACAACAAATGTTTTATTTTATTTAGATTAATGTATTTGTATACAAGAGAAAATGTAATAATGAAATGGTATTTAAGTATAAAAATATACGCTTAGTTTATTTGTCTTTATTTTTTTTTAGCCGCAATTAAAAATTCAATGAAAAAAATAAAAAGGGCGGACTTAATGCTATATTATTGTTTTATATAACATGCTAGAGAGACATGAAGCTAACATCAATCTTATATAAACCATTTTCTTATAATGATCGTAAAGTAAATAGACTGACCTGGATCAAAGCTGCGAATGTACCCCAGCACATAGTTGAGATGCAGTAACGCATGAGCACGCGGCTCCACGTGGGACAATGCGCGCACGTACAGGCATAGATCCATGTCCGAGTTGTCCAGCGCGAAGCCGGACATCGTGGACCCCACTACGTAAAGCCCGTAGCGAGGGAAGATAGACTGTCGATTTTTTTTAAATTAATATTTTGTTGATAGGGTCCTAGATGGTAAACACGTTAACCTAGTAAATGCCTATTCACTTTTACATAGAAGAGGCCCAAATTGTTTACCTAGAAATGTTTGTTTTGTAAAGGTTGGATCAGTAAGTTGTAGCAGCAATGGGCCAGCCATACAGCTTGAAGAACCAACAATCGATGGGAAAGAAAGGTTCTCGAGTGGCAGCCTCGTACTGGTAAGCGAAGTGCATGGCGACCCTTAGGTATAGTGACGACCTGCAGTCAATTCGCTAACTTTGTTGATATCAAAATGATAGTCATTTCGTAGTACATTGCTTGTCCTATATAGCTTTTTTATGTAGGTTATCATGGCTCATAAAACATACGACGCAATGTAAAGTAACTATTATTATGATGTCGACACAATTAGCTAATAGACCTGCTGCTAAAAGTTGCAGTAAGTCGATGGATGCAGGTGGCTGAGGACTGTGCTGGGGGATATGTATGATTTTTTTCCAATTGTTTTTGTCATCCTTATTAATAAACAAACTCACAGTCCACCTGCTGGTTAGTGGATGCTGTGGCCCATAGTCTTCTACACATTGAGTTATATGTACTACGTACTAGAGAAGCCATTCCAAACAAAAATTGTGTCCTACTCTATGTCTTCGCGCATGCGCGGGAGTAGTAGTCGCGCATGCGCGAAGACTTTAATTTGATATAAAATAAGATATTAATATAAAATAAATTATAAGAAAAATATATAAGAATTTAATATAAAATATCTTAATTTAATCTAAACAAACATATAAATAAAATGTAATAATAATTATTTTATGGAATTCACAAATCTTTAATTTACGCAAAATTTAGTTTGTAGGGATTGCAGTACAGTTCAGTTTAACATAGTCAATGTTCGGAATGGATTCTCTAGTACGTAGTACATATAACTCAATGCTTCTACATTACACAATTAACCGATTCGTTGCGGCACCGATTTTCGACAACTTTTAGCTGTGGCGGCGAACAAATAATTCATGACACGCCGAGCGTGTTAAGCGCCACACACGTCAATTGTGCCATCAGCCATGTGTAAAAATAATTTTCTTTTTTATGCTTTTTTTCACTTGTTTAGACCTAATTAAGTTTAGTTCACATCAAACATCAGTTACAAACTGAAGGATACTTGTTTTTAGTGGGTAACTACGTGTTTTTCTACGTGTTTTCTTTGAAATTGAGAGTAAGTGACTTTTTTTTGCAGAGATTACAAACCTTTTGTACTATTTTTTGTTTTATAAAAAAATATCCTTTACATAAGTAAGTACAACTAAATCACCCTGGAAAACCTTGGTCTTTATTAAAATAAATTTTCACCTAATAATAAGATTTGTAAATATCAAACAATTATGACCTTAATTTGGAAAAAATAAGGTTTATGATTCATTGATATTTACAAATGTTAAATATTGTTTAATGTTATACAAATGTAAAAGTAAAGTCTATCTGAATACGTCTAGTTAGTAAGAATAGCAAAACAAGTTTTGAAAAGGAAAAAAAACGCTAATACGCTAATAACGCTAAACGCTATACGGCGGCCGATTGACAAAAGACTATTTATTAGCGAACTTTTTTAAAATTAAACAATAAGACAAACGCATTGTTTTTTTTTTAACAGGAGACTTGTTTTCCAGAAATTCCACAACAGGATAAAACCCACAAAGTAAAAAGAGTACCATGTACAAGTTAAAAAAAGGTTGTCAACCCCTAAAAATTTCAAATTTTCAAAATATCCAGAAACGAAGCTATAGGCATGAACTACTTGCAAAATAATGAATATTTTGTTCTGGATAAATCTTCCAAAAACGCAATTTGAGCGAGTTATAACGATTTTTAAAAAGACACGACTCGCGTGTCATACGCCACGCGCAATGACCAATGGCACGCCTGGCGTGCCATCCGCACTGAACCGGTTAAGAATCAAAATGCAGATGGGTTGTGACCCCTGAGGACTAAGATGGAATGCCTCGTTCCCAGTAAAAAGGGTCTTCGGTTCTCTACACTCACCATAAGAAACACAGCAGTGTTCAGTTGCTATTTTACGCTGGTATTCTATGCTGTGTTCTCAATAAGTATACAAATAGGCAAAATATGCAGTAACCGGCCCTACTGAATCGCTACCCCCCCCCTCCTCCCTCCCCCATTCTTTTCAACAAGGGAAGGCTCCATGTCTAAGAACATTTACATTAGAGAAGCCTTATTGTGGGGAGCCTTATTACACCCCCTTGTTCAGCAGTGAACTGTTATGGGATGATAAAGAACAATCATTGATTATTAAAGCAATACTAATTTTTAACAGAAATGAAATTTTAACTGATTACAACAATCTTGACAAGTTGTAGAAATGACATGTACACAAATTTAAAGTAGGGGTTCATACCTTGATAGTTATGTAAAGATAACGCCACAGATTCATCTTCTTTCTAAACGTGTCCTCTGTCTGCTGGGAAATGATAAATTTGTCCCAAACCTCCTGCGATAATGTGTCCCATTTTGACCCTAAAAAGAATTACATTACTTTACAGATACGACAAAGATTTCTCTTTTGCACGGTTCTAAACACACATAGTAAAATAAAATGAAATATATCTCAAATGTTTTGACAACCTCTCGGAACACTAGCAATACTTTACGTATACATGTAACTTATAACTTAAAATCTGCGTGAAGTTTGTTTCTTTGCTTCAATAGTGATTCTAAATCTTATATTAAATATAGTTTTCAATAATTTATATTACATTTACATACCCTTGGATATGATTATATAAAAAACTTAATAAATTTTTACATGGTAGAGCTATGCTGGAGCTATATTGTGGTTGCAGAACGAATGGGTCGGGTCGACTGGGGATGGACCACACTCTCACAGAATACCAGCGTAAAATAGCAGCTTAATGTTGCTATTTCGTATAGTGAGAGTAGAGAACCGAAGAACCTTTTTACTGGTAATAAGGCATTGCATCTCATCCTCAGGGGTGACAACGTGTCTGCATTTTAATTCGTAATTGAGGATAAATGTAGATGTGTGCTTGTTTCTCACCCTTATTCTATATATATCATCATCATCATCATCATCATCATGGCAGCCCATCACAAGTCCACTGCGAAACATTGGTGTTTGGTGTCCTCCAAGGAATGCTATAAAGCACGGTCCCGAGCCACCTGCATCCATTTATTTCCTGCATGTCTTACCAGGTTGCCACTCCATTTCCATTATATAAAAACATATAATAAAAAAAATCACTACATTTACTACAAATTTGTTCTATTTTGTGAAGGTATTTTATTAGGGTTAATTGTACAATCATCGGATAAAAGTTATTCATTAAATTATTTTGACTGAATATAAAAGTGAAACAATTGAATTAGTTTATTAATAGATCTGCAATTATTAATTTGTTTATGTTAAAGGTATAGGTAAATAATTTTAATTGGTAGGAATTCTTTTTCTATATATGTGCCCATCCATCACCACGTTGTTTTACCTATTTCCAAACAGCAGTATTGCGCTGTGCACTGTTGTATAATGAAAGTGAGTGTAGTATAATATTATCACTGGCTGTGAAGCATTCCATCATGATCCTCACAATGCACCTATAGCTTCTTTGTTTGACGCTGGTTGCAGGTGTTCATGGAATGCAGCAGCACTTGCCATCAGGTGGACTGTAAGTTTGTTTTTCGTTTCAATATTATGAACGAAAAACAGTCTAGAACCTGAATACTTATTAATGGGCCCTGCAAAAATTTTGTGTGGAAATCAAACCTACAGTCCATTTTGTTTCAACTGAGCTCATATTATACACACGGTTTAAACTAGCGGTGGATGATGCAAACCGTATACTGATACGAAATCTATATATTGGTATAATACCTAAAAAAACACTTACTGGTTTGTTCGAAAACTATGTATTACTAAAATCTGATATTTGCGTACCGCCGCGATGCCTATATCGTTTCGCATCGGTCGGTGGCTAGATTCGCCGTGTGCGACAGAGCGCGAGCGATATGGGTATTAAAGTTTAATTTCTGTTGCTTAATAATGATACATTTCAAATCAATCTTTTTTAACTCATAAAATCGAGTGCATATTATAATATTATTTTATTTAGAAATATCAATTGACTTTTAAATTTGCCCGAATCAATGTAGTGGAAGGAGAATGTTGTGCTTTTTATTATTTTAAATATATTTTGTGTTATAAATAAATAATAAAGACACTGTAAATGTCTACTATTTTAATTGAACAATTTATAACTGTTTAATCGTTATCATATGAAAATTATTTCCAAAAAAGAATAACCAACTGACATCAACCTTTATAAAGATTAAGTTAATAAAATATAATCAGAATTGGTTCATTGTTTTTTTTTAGAATTCAGAAAATCGCAAACATACATAATATGTACATACATACGGGCCTTCCTTTTATTGAAATTGGTAGGTTCGCTCTATTTTGTATTTAAGTAGATCCACTCAAAGAAAAGATTTTGAAAAATTCCAACGATATCTTCTTAAATCGGTTTCACGCGTACAAAGTCGCGGAAATTAGCTATTTAATTTATTAATATCGATATACATGTAGGTAAAGAAAATCGCACTAAATTGACTTAACTGAAATCGATTTCAAAACTTTAAAAAAAGAAAGTTTAAACTACGATTATCTATTTGCATTAGCTCCAAAAAATAACATAATATACATTTAATCTATACATGTATAATACTGATTCGCAATGAATAGGGAAAAGTAACTACAAGATCTTCGTATTGGATTTCAACAGCATATCACAGTAGAAAACATAAAAGCATAAGGAGAATATAGTTTTGATATCAGATATTGAGATTCAAAATCTGATATAGATACGATTTTAAAAAAACGCGATACTACCTAGGCCTAGTTTAAATATCAATTTAATTACCATTAAGTAAATCATCAGGTGTGAATTTGACTTGGAATGGGTAGGAAGCATTGAGAAATCTCTCCGGTGCAATCCTCCGGGGGCGAAGCTCTCTCCGTGGTCGGGCGCGCCACTCTCTCTGCTGAAATTGGACAGGGGGCGCCGATCCCGACGAGGCCGCGGTACTATTCTCAGAGCGGGAACTGCTTTCACCTAGACATAAATATAACTATCTGTATTGTCTGCCTATTTCTTTCCCTTTCCCCTAAAACTAATGGTTGTTTGGTGTCCTTTTCATGACTTGTGTCTATTTATTTAACTATATTTTATTACATACTAGCTGCTAGCGTGTTGCTGCCGCAGAGGAAATAAGTGGAAATATTGTTTTAAATTTGGAAGTTATTTTTTTTTATAGAATAAAGGTAATAAACAAGCACATAGTCCACCTGATGGTAAGTGGTTGCTGTAACATGAAAGATAGGCATAGTATAATTAACTTACAGTGAAGGAGTAGGTGGTGCCCATATTATATCGACAGATTTATTTGAAAGTTATATATCATTCAATTTCAATGAATGTATTATCATTCCTAATTAAGCAACATAACTCTCAACTTTTTGTACGTGGTAGAGCCATGCTGCAGCTATATTAGTAGTATAGTTGTAGCACGAATGGGTCGGCTCGACCGGGGAAGGACTACAACTTCACAGAATACCAGCGTAAAATGGCAGCTTGACACTGCTGTGTTTTATATGGTGAGTGTAGAGAACCGGAGACTCTTTTTACTGGAAAAGAGGCATTCCATCTTAGTCCTCATGGGTAACGACGCATCTGCATTTTGATTCTTTATTGAGGATAAATGTAGAGGTCTATGGGTCACAGCAACCACTTACCATCAGGTGGACTGTGTGCTCATTATATTGTATACATTAATTTTCATATGCTACATAGTAAAAATACTCCATAATAGCCTTTATTGCTGTCTTAAAATTACAATAATGAAATCAAAAGAAAGTTAGTTGGCACATCTGTCTTGGAGTCTCTTCTTTTTTACTCTCTTTTGCCAACATCACCATAGTGGTCCAACAACTTTCTTTACATTGTCTATATTTTGTGTTGTCTTCCTTTCACTGACCATATTTTGTGATGCTTTTACATACTCATATCAATATATTATGGAGATATAAATAGACATGGACAGGAAATATTTTGAAAATATATTTTTTTATATGCTTAACTTAATTTTCATTTGCAAGGAAAACCCTCGTTTAACGCTTATACTACATGTTTGGGAAAGTCTTTTGTTACTATACATTAAGAATAAAGAATAAATAAATAAATGAGATCTATAAGTGAGAGTGATCAAGCAATATGCATCATTCACACATTTTATTGCTGCAATTACAGTTACAATTACACAATTACATTGTGTAAAATATAACAATTTCAACGGTACTGGCAAGGATCAAGCCCACATCACTATGCTGTCAAATTTACAGTGAGCATTTAGCCCCTAAGCTACTACAGCTTTTAATTTTTTATAGAGTTATATTAAAGAATAAACAAATGGGGACCATTTGTTTATTGCTATTACTTTTTTAAATATTTCCTTCACGATCCACTGCTAATCATAATCATGTTAAATAGATTATCTCATAGGGCTAATATTTGCTACAATTGCGATACTTGGTGAGAAACTGATGTTTTATAATGTCCTGTTTCATTTATCTCCGTTGTCTCTTATGACACTCATGGTGTGCTTGTAATTATCCTATGCCACCACAAAAACCTACTTATATTAACTAAAACAAAGATTTAATAAATCTCAAGAAGACTATAGACATTAGAATTCAAATCCAGTTATAGCACTTTGAACCAATAGTTATTATGACTAAAAACAATAATCGTTTGTTTGTGTACATTGTCTGATATTACATGAAAATTGGCATGATTTTTGAAATATAACATTAAAAGTTTTCAAAGATATAATTTTCTTGATCATCCAATGATAATCAAAAATGAATAAATAACAAACCAGTCTCATAGCAGAAATGGTGGTGTCACCTCACAGTAATATCACACTAATACAGTCAATAACTGCCCAAGTAAACTGTTATTGCAGAAAAATAAACATAAAGGAACTTCTGATTTTACATATGCAGAACATAACAGATAATATAATAATTATTATTGAGTTTAAGATTTCAATGTATGGATATAGATGTCTTTTGGTATTACAATCTTTGGCATTACAAATCTAGAATAAGTTCTTGTAAAAGTTTACAATAATATTTGAATATCAGTGTGTGAAATATTTATAACATATTGCTCCTGCCTTGCTCTTGTACCACACAACTAATCTTTTAGTACATATAGCCATAATGTTATTGAGCCATTTATCGGATTTTTATTTAACTAATTATTTTATTTCTACCCACTTTATTTTGTTAATGAATTGTTGTTAAAGACGTGTTTTTTATGATTTTGTTATTATATTTGGAATGTATTAAATGGGGAGATTTTAGCAGCTGTAACAAAGGTCTGTGAACTAGCACAGTTGCTAAAGATACCCTAATAATAATATTGAGTTTATTTAAGTCGTCAATATAAATTTTATAAGGTTTTGTTTTAGTAAAGTGTTTCTGGGATTAATAAATATTATTATTATTAAAACAAAACATTTTATATTAGGTTTTCTTTTTTCTTGGGGGTAGATACAAATTAGAAGTGGTGAATTTATTGGATGGAGGACTCAAATTTATAAAAATTTATTAAAAACAGTTACTAAATATTGCTTACCTTTTTCACTGGACTTGTTGGAACCAGAGGCATTACTTGATAGGCTGGAATCGTCAGAATCATAGCCAAAAGCGGTGTAGTCTTTGCTTTGCTGGCGGTCGCGACGCGCCTGCCATCGCCGCGGAGCACCATGACTAGGATCTCCTCCACCACGCCCTGCACCGCCTAATACTTGAAGTACTTCTAAGGGATATTGTCGTGATCTGTCAATTTGGCCAGGTACCATATAGACTGCGCCCCCATAACCGTTTCCATGGTACATTATAGGTGCTCCTTCGTTCATATCCACTTTCTACGGTAAAAAAATATAAAAGCATGAGCCCTAACCCTAGTGTGACTAAGAAAATGAAATTTTAAGAATACCGACCTGCAACTCAACCGCTTACAACTGTGACGTCGTTATTACCTATTGGCCTATTGCGTCATGCTAAGCGTAATAAATATCATATTGTGTCGGCGATCTTAATAATTCTTGAGTATTTACTGAACCTATAAATTCAGACTTTAGCTTTGGGTAATGTCAGTCTAATGGAGTCGTTGTCGGCCTTGCTTAATGTTGAGCTCCCAATTTGCGAACAGAATGAGCTTTTAATATAACGACACCGGTAATAATAAACCCTAAAATAAAAAATAATCTACCCACGAATTAAAGATAAATCGCTGAATTATTAGAACTATTCCGCCATGACTTAAGGAAGCAGCGCTGGCGACATCTGACGGCATTTGCCACAGTGTACACGTGACAATCTAATTTTTTTTGGTTCAAATTTTGTGTTCCATTAAATGCCAGTAATCGATATCAATTTAAGAAATTATGTTCTTGCAAAATAGGTATTATAACTCTATTAGAAAATATTGCATAATATATTCTATGTTTACCAAATAGACAAAATGGGTAATCACATGACGTTATTTGGCATTAGGCAACATCAGTCAACACAAAGTACAAAAATGTTGACAATTGACATTGAATGTCATTTCTATAAAAAATAATCATTTATGATCATCACCTTAGAAAATTTAATTAGTGTTTATGTTTTAAATTTGTATTCAGTAGATATGGGAAATATAATAAACATTGGCATCTTATCTTTGGTGTAGTATAGTAAACAAATCAAGTGATGACGTCTAAAGAAAATAATGTAACCATAAAAGTGCAAAAAGTGTACAGAAACAAACTTTGTCGTCTCATTGTTTGATTTTTTAGCTATCTCCGCACTGGAGTCTTTATTGATATGTCACATTTCGGGGATTACATGGACGGTGTTCCCGTTAAAATTTCAGAAAAGTATAAGAGGCCACCTAGAATCGAGTTACCATATAGTGTTATTGAATGTCCACAGAGAGCTAAAAATGTTATCAACAACATAAATTATTGTTCCACTTTCGAAAGTACCGTGCTTTCTAAACTCAAAGAGCTGCGAAGCGCGAAGGAAACTAAAAAAAATGAAAGAAGGCACCGCTTGCAACTATTACAGGAGGCAAAGCAAAAGAAGTTAGACGCAATCGCCGCCGCGGAGGCTGAAGAGAAATTAAAGCAATTAAGTGTGTCAGAAGTATCTTATCCTAGTACTGATGAAATAAGTGCAATTTCTTTAGATGAAAAATTGGACAAAGGCTGTGATACCTCTCCAACTGAAGATACTGTAGCTGAAGTTGATAAAGCTGTTTGTACGGACCCCTATATAAGTAATTCACATGAGTCACAGCAGCATATCCTCCAACCTGTACAGGTGCAGACCAGTTACCAGCACAATCTCTTAGATGACCCAGACCCATTACAAGAACTAAAATTGAATGCAAAGATGCCCAAAATACCTCAGTACAATCATAATGTTGATATGTTAACATTTAGAGATTTTGAAAATGATACATCAAGTCCCTTTGACAATGTAGAATTGAAGACAATAAATGACATGGAACTGCTAGCACAGGTGTTGCAGAGGGATTCAATGTCAAACTGTCCAGTACAGAATATGTACATACCTGATCAGACTTACCCTTCTTATACTAATTGTGCAACACAGGCACAGATTGAAGGTGTCACATATTTGCCAAATGCTTACGCGGAACAAACAATCCAAGGTCCAAGTGTGGCATACTCTTCTCCACAGCACTTCCCTGTCTCTAATGGGTATTACGTAACCCCTGAAAATACCTGTGATAATATGGCCCCGGAAAATGTAAATATCTACATGCCAAATTATCAATACTATGTGCCCACTCAAGCAGTTCCTACTCCTGATCTCTATTACAGCAATCCAATACCAACAACAAGTAGTGATCAAGCACAAAATGATTCCACATTCATTCCTCACCCATATTACTTTCATTATCCTCAAGCCCCTGTGCAATATACAAATGCAAACACAAGTTATAATGCAAATGAAGTGTATGAGAGGCCCGTGGAAGAAAAAGTTACTGCTACAGCATCACAAAATACAATGAAATCCCGTTCCCGAAGTGTACCAGACATTGTTAGAGAGTTGAACGAGGAACTGGCTTCTGCTAAGCTTAGAGCTAGTGAAAGGTCATGCAATGCAAGTCCTGCACCAAAATCTGTTCCTTGTTCTTCTTCAAGTAGTAATAAGAAAGAAGATAAAAAGAAAAGAAAGAGTGAGCACTTACCGAACCCTTATGATAAGTTTCCTCCTCCACTAAAAGATACTTGTCAGAAAATTCATGGAATGGGATTCCCATTGGACAGGGTAGCAAGAGTGTGCAGTTTAGTAGGGGATAGTGATAAAAAGGTAAATTGTCTGTTTTATTTATCTCATCAACTTGTGTTTTATAAACATCTTTATCTGTATTAGTAGGAAGTCTACTTCTGGATATTGGTTTCTCACTCTGTGGGGAGGATTTGCCTTAAACATCACTATTGGCAGTACCAGATGTTGAGCACTATTGTGTATTTTAAGCTTAGAATTCATTAGAATAATGAGCTAGAATTAATTATTTTGACTTGGCTATGTTCACACATGGCAGGCAGGTTAGAACTGCAGAAATGAAAGTTCCTACTTAGTAATGAAAGAAATACACTTATCTTAACCTATGGTAATTAAAAATGCTAAAAGTGTTTTCTTTTAAATTATTGCATTAGCATCACCTTTCAAAATATTATTATGCCTATATACTGTCCACTGTTTTAAATATGCCTTATCTGATTTTTTTAATTTTCTATAATATCAGTATTAGGTTATGACTACAATACCAAAATATTCATAACTTTTATTATGCTCTGTCACTAGTCTAAATATTTTGGCTTGAAAATATAAATATATCTTAGATTTATATTCATATTATGAAAATAATCAATTTGAAAACGAATACTATTCTATTCTATCCATTAAAACTTAATTTTTAAATTATATTTTATTAGAACCATGTTCATTAAAATGACCAATTATTATTTCTTAATTTTTTTTGTACACCATGTCAGCAAAACGGTATTTTAATTAGACAGTCCTTTAGTCTAGCTAACAGTTTACTTCCTTTATCCTAGCTATTCTTGAATGCCAACTTTTTACTAACAGGCTAGCCATCTAATTAATTGGCTGTCTTAACTATCAGATTGCAGATATCCATTTGGCAATACTTTGTTTTATAGTCAGCATAATGGGAATCGGCTAGTTGGTGGTGACATTGGCATTTAGAGGATTTGGTCGGAAGAGGATGTTCCTTCCAGCCTTCTACTCCTGTTGGATCTGATAGTAGAAAATTGAAAATATATAATATGATGAGTCTATGTTCTCCATTTCTTTTTTGTTCAATTTTGTCATCCTCTAAAGTGAAAATTTACAGCCAGGTGGAGTATTTGTTGTCCATTCTTAGATAAATTTTTGTCTGGAGCTAGAACCTCGGATGACCGTCTTTCGCCTTCTTGATAGATATAATTCAATTATTGATGTGTGACGATAGATCCCGACATATTTTAGTTCAGTTATGAATCACAAGAAAAAGTCATGGCTATTTTCATATTTATGATTCATTAGTTTTATTACTGTTATTAAAAAAAGGAATACATATATATTTCATATACTAGGTGCTATTGTATCTACAGGAAATGCCAGAAAGGCATGATCACTGTGTTTTGATGAAATAAAATGTTGAAGTCTGCAGTATGGCAACATGTTCAGGATCGTCCTAATCATTACATCACATTTGATTTTTTATATTGAATAAGGGTGCCAAATGAGCATACAATTCACCAGATGGTAAGTAGATGCTGTGGCCCATAGGCATCTAAATCTATCCCCGATTAAGAATGAAAATACGGATGCCTAGTCACCCCTGAGTACTAAGAAGGAATGCCGTGTTTCCATTAAAAATAGTCTCTGGTCCTAAACACTCACCATATGAAACATGGCAGATTTATTTTGCTATTTTACGCTGGTATTCTGTGAGAGTGTGGTCCTTCCCTAGTTGAGCTGATCCATTCCTGCTACAATATAGCTGCAGAGTGGCTCTACTACATACATTTTATTTTTTACATTGCAGACATTAGTTTGCCTTATCTATTACAAGCTAATAGCTCAATAGGCATTTATTATTTTCACAACTCCAATTATATTACGGTTTGGAGAATACTGTCTGCCCTTGAAAACAATTTCTTGTACCTCTTAGGTTTTATTGAGGTGGGGTCGTTCACATCTCTGATTTTATTAAATGTATTGTGACCTCGGAAGAACACATTTTTTTTAATCAGTTATTTATAATGTTAAAATATGATGTTGAAGCATTTCGTGGTGTTTATAATTTTGTTGGTCCATACATATTCTTATATATTTAAATAAAAAATATCTTTTTTATTTTTGGGAGTTGTGATTTGTTTGGCAAATGACCCTGAACGTTGAAATGGTTGCAGCAGCCGTGAGTGCGAGAGCGGAGTGAAGTAGTTGGTAGTGTCTCAATCTCGTGCCTCGAAAAGCACGTAAAGTCGTTGGTCCTGCGCCTTATCTCTCGCCGATCGTGTCAGTTTACCGTCGCATTGGATTATTGAAAGGAAGAGAGAGTACACCTGTGCTTGCGCATACGCATCTCCGTGGAGGCTGGCTGCCGTGATCGAAAATCGGTTCAGCCTCAAGATTAACAGGACATTAGTAATGGTGTATGAATATCCACTAACCCATATCATCTCGTGGTTGTCGTAAAAGCGACAGAGGGAAGCAAACCAGGAGATGGGCAGCAGCGTTTCCCTAGTAAAAACTAAAAATAAGAAAATCGGCTGTTGTCAATTCGCCTGCCAAACGTAGCAACTATGTCAAATATTGTGCATTGTCTTGT